TCAGAGTTTCTTCTTTTCAGTTTTGGTTGTATTGTTTTGTGAATTTGTTGTAATGTTTTGTGTATTTGTTGTAATGTTTTGTGTATTTGTTGTAATGTTTTGTGTATTTGTTGTAATGTTTTATGTATTTGTTGTTAAGCGTGTCGAGTCTCCCATCCGGGAAATAGGTATTGGCGAGCCGCACGCATACTAAAGGTAAAGGAGTTAAGAAGCCGCCTGAAAATCAGCGCTATATAGGTACATCTCGCTGGAGCTGTACATATGTACATATATAGCAACAGCTGAGGCGGCTCCTATTACCAGCAACATTAATTGTTTTTTTTTTCTCTTTTTGTTGTTTTAATTTTTTATTTTCTTAATACTGGTAATAAAGGTTATCTATCTATATAAAAAAAATCAGTTATCAACTGTAATGTTTACCCTGTACTATATGGTTTTGTTTGTTCAATGAATGACTATTTAAATGAGTTATACTGTAGGTACTTAACTGTAATTATCTAGTATTTAATAAATGTGTAATGTACAGTAGATAATGTAGAAAATATTGTGAAATAACCTTCCTTATGACGTGTTTCTTTCGTTCTATAAAGTCGGATCCTTCAAACGTAGCGTGAAAAAGCATTTAAAAGACGGCATAGTCGGCAACGATCGATCGATCGTTGAGAATCGAATATTTTTTATTGGTATTGTTTTTTTGATTATATTGTCTCTGTGTTCGTTTAGAACGATGTGGTCACATGCGGTGCTGTTAAAAAAATGTGATCTTAAAATAAACTGAATAAAAAAGGTATACCATCAATGATGTTAGCTGAACTTAAACCAGAAACTTTTGAACATCTCTGTAAATTATTGATGCCCATTAATTCTTCTCTTTCCGCGTCTAGGGAAAGTAGATAAAGTTTTGTTTGAGAAATCAGTTCAGGGTACAATAGGACTGATATACCTGAAGAAGGTAAAAGCCCTTAAAATAATATTAAAAAAAATAAAAATAAAAAAAGGTATTGTTTAAAGGGCGATAATGGAATGGTAACCCCGCCTGCGCTAACGAGATACGCCGGCGGGGCACCAGTGAGCGATGATAGGTGACGATGAAAGCAGGTCAATTAGCCCATCGTAACTAATTCCACTAGATTTAACCACGATGGTTTCCAGGGGGAAGCACGTGAAGGTCGACCTGGTATTGCCAGCAATGGGTCAGTTAGACCCATCTAACAATCTAACATCTAACAATCTTTACAATCACAAACTTGAAGATGATAAACAACCTTATCATCTTCAAGTTATTGTAAGAGATAAACAGGCGAATAAACATAATGCACTCTATAGGGGGGGGGGGAAGGAATTGTTAGTAATGGAGACTAAGAATCCCATTGCTAGCAATATACCCAACCAGATCGACCTCCTCGCGGTTTTCCCTGGAAACTATCATGGTTAATTCCTCATGAATTCATCATGATGGGCTAACTGGCCTGTTTTCATTCTCATCTATCACCCTTCACTGGTGCTCCGCCAGCGTATCCCGTTAGCGCAGGCAGGGTTACCATACCATTTTCACCCATCAAGAATAAATAAGTAAATGTACTTATATAAAAGTAGGAAAATATAATATGATTATTTTTGTGACAAAACCAAGCCTAGCCATCAGAGTAATAGTGAGATAAGCCCTCCGTCTTTGCGAGAACATTTCAACAAGCTTAAAGTTGACTCCAAGCCGAATTACAAGTTCGGGTGAAAGCCAAAAATGTCCAGCATCAACGTAATGGCCTCCACTTATTATTTATGATCGAATTCAGTACTGGGACATTGAGTTAATAGGTTTATTATCTATGATGACCATAGCACCAGAGGGAAACTTTGTACAAAAGTCGATTGCTTGGCTACCTCTGTCCTATTCGTGTTTCAACCGTGAAGCAGTTGTTTGCATGGCTGTGTTTCGGTTTGAAGGGTGGGATATGGCGTGAATTTACAAGGTACAGAGGAATAACATCTGAGTCCTCAGGAATGGCAACGTATGGGGGGTATCATGGGCGAAACAGTATACTCTGTTATTTCCATCGTATTACTCATGTCTATAGGTGACGGTTACCACTTTTCATCAGGTGGGCCGTCAGCTTGTTTGCCATTCTAAGTTGTATTCTAAGAATGACGTTTGGCAGTCGTCTGCCAAGCGTCATTTTTAGACAATTCTATTTTTAGACAGAGTTATTTTTCAAACTGAAAAACTAATGTGCCCACATCATTATATCGATCTTTGTTGAATGGTGGTTAAACAAATGTTTAACAGTTATTCAGGTGTGGGTGTTGCCCTCTCGGTGTCTTAACGCTAATGACTGCGTTGCATCGCCCCAGCCACTACCGCAGGTTCTCGTCTCGAAATCGAGAAATGTGAAAAGTATCTAGATTGTATCTGCGCATTCCATGATTAAAGACTATAACTGGAACAATTTATACAATAATTTTGCTTTGGCGTATTTACATAGAGTACTTTGGATATTTAAATTTCACTTTTATATTACATTCTTTGTCATATTGATATTGCTAAATATGTAAGGTTTCACCTCGTATTTTACTATTAAAAAAATACTTATGGGTTTGGCGACTCGCACGTGACTCCCCTAGTGTTGCAAGCGTTCAAAGCCTACAGCGACCGTTTACCAGACGGACTGTATGCTTGTTTGTATATTATTTGTTACCTTTGTTATTCTCTCAAGTGAACCCTTAGCATTAGCAGTAAACAGCACCAATATCTTAGGTTTTACGATTTACCTACAACACGACTGTATTGCATATTGGATCCTGTTAATATAATTGAAGCGCACATTAACAAGTTAGTTGCCGTGGGTGCGCCCGTCGCGCCGCCACGCCCCACCTAGTCCCCCACTCGTCTAGCGTGAATACCACTAATGAACGCTGCAAGGTATAACGACTCTCCTATCAGTACCTGTGTTACTAATATTTCTCGAATTGTTCACGATTTATTTTTGGACGATCTTTATTTATTCACCGTAAAACCTAAAATTATAGTGTAATCTTTAAATGAGGGGGAAAGGGATTGTTAGTAATGGGCAGGTTAGTCCTTATTGCTGTTAATACACGCTATCAGGTCGACCTCCACACGGTGTTACCTGGAAACTATAGTGATTAATTTATCGTTGAATTTGTCATGATGGGCTAACTGACCTGCGTTTTCATCGTCACCTATCAACCCTCACTGGTATATCCCCAGCATATACCGATAGCGCGTAGTTATCATTTCATTTTCACCAATTATGGTAAAAAAAATACCTTTAAAGGATTCTTATATATGTATAATCTTAATCTTGGAAATGGTTCCAACAATTTGCATGAAATTTAATAAGCGTGGGGTTTCAGAAGCGATTAATCTATGATTTAACTAGGCTTCATTTTTAGAAAACATTGTTTTATCCGTGTTTTCAGGCACTGAAAAACTGCTACAGTATTATTAGAGTACGAAGGTAAATTTCGCCACAATGTACAAAGATATAATAGCTCAGGTAAGATATAGGAAGGTCCCGAAACCAGACAGTTAAGCTGATGGTTTATGAGAGACGCGTATTAACGCGATCATTTTGATAAACTATGACTATTTTGATAATTTACCTGTATAATTTCGATTTTTTCTTAGTTTACCTTAACACGGTTTAAGGCAAACTCAAGAAGGTACTATAATTGATTTTTAGACTCATCATCATCATCATCACCATCATCATATCGGTCGTTTATTCCCCACTGTTGAAATTAGGCCAATAATTAAATTTACTTCAATAAAAAATTTTCTTATTCCTAAAAGACGAGTTTAAAACGAGATTTCTTTATCCACTTATCTTTCGAATTTCATTAGTAGGGGACCGATAGGGGCAATAAACGTTCATTCAGTAGCAGCTTATAATCCCATAAGGGATGCCCTCTCTGAAGCTACGACACCGCTACGTAGCTACGCTGCTACGGCGCGTAGCCATCAGTTCTACGTGATCGCAGTACGACGACGTAGCGTAGGCTTCCAAACTTGCATTACTGCGGTTGATGGTTTATTGCCTTTTATTACCAAATTGTAATAAGTTTATTTTGTTATAGTAACATTGAAGTATAATATTGATATTTCACTATTTATATGATTGATTGAATGGTTTCAATCACATAATAATTTATTGAAATATTATTTTCATAGTTTCAAAAATATAACTACATGGGACAGATAAAAGAAACACTAGGTGTCATGTCGTATAGGGAGGTCAACGATATGGCCTAGGATAGAGCTGGATGGAAGAAGATGCATGAATTAGTTTTTTTTTTTTTATACAACTTAGAATGGCAAACAAGCTGACGGTCCACCTGATGGAAAGTGGTAACCGTCGCCTATAGACATGAGCAGTACCATGGACATAACAGAGTATACTGTTTCGCCTATGATACCCTCTATGCCTATGATAGCCAGAAAAATAATCATCAAATCGGACACACAGTTATAATAGATATAAGGAACCGAAATTGATAGTATTCGTGAAATTGAATAGCTTTCTCCAAGGAGAGTCCCATCGGTCACAGACCGCGCGGTCACGTGACCGACTGGGCTATGAAAGATGAAAAATAGCAACGCACTGAGGGCACTCCCCTCACCGCGTGGGGATGTATTGATTGATCGACATAAAAAGTGTGTTCTTACAAACTAAATCGGCAGTAAACCGCCATAATTGTGTGTATATATAAATATATATATGTATGTATTTAAAAAAAAGTATTTAAGTATTTCTATCAGTTGTCTAGTACCCATAGTACAAGTTCCACTTAGATTACCACTAGATGGCGCTGTGCGATATTTCCAGAAAAAGAAAAATATTAACGATTTTTATTCCTGCAAACAAAATAGCGAGAAGATACAAGTAGTATATTTTATACATTTTCCGTAAACTGTGGCTATAAATATACACGTTCTTCAATATCATATCAGCTTTATATTAAATTCTTATACTTTTTTTCAGGTAAACGCTACAAGCGGCAATCATCCCAGGAATCTGGAGTAAGAATTTATTGGAAATTATGTTTTATTTTCGTCGCTCTTGGAACGTACGAGGTTAGGATTATATACAGCCAGGTGACTGCCTACTCACATAACTTTCTCCGCGTATAAATACATTTATTTTTAGTGACCTTTAAACGAAGTATATGTAAATGATTTTTAAGAAAATTTCATTTATTTAGTAACAAATGTATTGTTATTTTTAATCGACTTCAGAAAGGTACTCAATTCGCTTGTATTTTTTTTTATACCACTTAGAATGGCAAACTAGCCGACGGCCCACCTGATGAAAAGTGGTAACCGTCGCCTATAGGGTGATACGCGTATTTCTATTCTAAACAAACATATTAACGTAGATAATATCATATATTTAATTTCCATGCGTCATAAATTCACAATAGAGATGTCCATATCCCATCAACTATCTCCTTCCACTTCTGAGAATCGAATGTCTTCACGTCCCGTCTGTCTCCAGTGACGTCACAGAACAACCCTGCTCGATACAAGTTGTAGGAGGCCGTGACTAATACATGCCACGGTGATGTGTCTGCGCCATTATTCCATAGTTTGCCGTGACAGCTGTGTTGATTTATGTATGCGGCAGGAGTGCCCATATACATCCTGATTTGCCGTCGAGATAAATTGCTTTACAGTAATTTATTTATTTATATAAACTTTAATGCTAAGTAAAATTCTATGTACATTTGGCGGACTTAACACCGGACGGTGTTCTCTACCAGTCAACCATTGGGCAAACCGAGAAAAAAGTAGGCGGTGTATTATTGAATAGAGGAAATATAAAGCAATACTTGATAAATTCATATAATATAAATATACACATAATGTATTAAATAAATATATACATACAATAAATAGATACATAAAATATTACTATATAAAACAATTAAATAAAACAACTGCAATAGAAGAGCAAATAGTAATCTATGACTCGAACAGAGTAACAAGCACGAGAAGCTTAAATGGAAAGTGATTTTTCTAAGAAATAGATGCGCAATTTGTGTTTAAAAGTAATGATACGCAATATATAAAGACATTATATGTGCGCAGTATATGAAACAATATTTAAAGCACTTTGAGTCTTTTCATGAGAGAAGTCCTTTCAAGTCAATTTAAAATAAATATGATTTGTAGATTATGACGATAAACTTTAGAGCAAAGCTGTGGGGTTCTATTCACCTGCCTAGAAAACGTATTAGGAATTCTTAGAATCCAGCAGAAGAACATGCATTGACGGATATAGAAAGGAGAAAGTAGGACTCACCGACCGGGTTAACTTGCTGAGTAGTTGACCTTGGATGCACCCTATGGCTTTGACTCCTATTTCATACACCAACACTGGTTAGATTCACAATTAGAATGTAAAAGGCACATGAATTTCCATAGATTTTATGGTCTTTTTTCACTTAGAGTATGAGCGACACAAGCTCAAGTACTAGCGACCGCCATAATGATATTTTTCGTTTAACATTCAAACACAGAGGTCGCTAGTCGGCGTGAAAATTTAAATCGGAGTCGTTAATAGGTTAATGACAATATATTATTACGAATAGATAAAGGAATTAGAAAAGGATGTCGGAGCAATGATGTTATTATTTAAATTAATATGTGTAAAAATTAAATTCTCGTTTGATTAAAGTCTGATATTGAATGACTGAATATATTTGACGTTCTCTTTTGTTCGTCACCGCCACATTTCTGTTCGAGCTGCGCTAGAGTGCAGACGTGCATTGGCTTCCTAGTATCAAATTAGTAAAGATTAATATAAAATAATATTGGATAGCTGCTCTTAAGTTTTATTTATTCATGGCGCAATTTCCAATAATAGGAAACTGTCGATTCTGGTATTTTTTAAAGTCTTCTAAAATAAATGAGTGAAAATTTATTTCAATAATCCACTATTTACATATACCTAGATTGCAAGTAATAACAACATTAAAAAAATAGAAAAACAATATATTTATATATAAAGTGTGATTAAAATCAGTCAGTGTTATAGAAAAATGCTAATTTTCAAATTTAATATTTTGCTCAATTTGGAAATAGACGGAAAGTTTAATGGAAAAAGAAAGAAATTAATTTTGTTAACAAAGAATAGCTAGGCAAAGAATAAAAAAAATCACTTATTGTATCTACCTGTCTCGTTCTTATACATTTTATTGACATGTTTGATGGATGATGCTGAATTATATTTCGTTTCGGCTGAGGGCTTCCTCACATAATGTTATGTTAAGAGGGCCTTCGCCATAAGACTGAGATCGCCTGCTCTATCTTTTATGAAAGAATTCTTTTAAATATACAGGGCGAAATAGAAGTCATTAGCGTCATTAAGCAGTCTATCAGTTAAACTGAATATTTTTATTTTATTTTTTACTAACTTTTAGTTAAACCACAGTATAAGTAGTAGTACTAAAGTACAGTATGGACACTCCATGCCACTGCGAACTGACTTCATCATAATCATCGTCATCACCATCAAATCATCCTGTCAACTGTCCACTGCTGTACATATAGGCCTCCCTTTATTAGGGGGTTTTGCCAACATTTGTCGCGCATGGCAGACAGGTTGCTAGTTGCAGTTCATCCCTCTATCATTAAGTTCCCATATCGCCACTTACGACACCCATGAAAAAGGAAGGTGTGGCGAATATGTACAATAATAATTTGAAATCATAGAATTTCTTTTTTATGTAATGGATGATAATGGTATGGTAACCCCACCTGCGCTATCAGTATACATTGGTGGTGCACCAGTGAGGGATGATAGGTGAGGATGAAGCAGGTCAGTTAGTCCACCGTGTCTACGAATCTAACAATAAATCAATCACGGTGGTTTCCAGGTGGAACTACGAGGAGGTCGACCCGACAGGGTGTAATGCTAGCAGTGGGCTACTAATCTCCATTACTAACAATCCCTTCTCCCCCAGTATAATGCATTTGATATTACCAACTTGATAATGTAAATTGATAATACATTTTTAGTGGCAAAGTGTCGACCATGGCCAATGAATTAATTTGGTTCAATACAGTGTAGAGCAATTTTTAAAATTGTTATTGTGGGCGAAAAGACTGTATGCTGGTATGGAAACACGGTGTTTTAGAAAGATAATATAATTATTAATTATTTAATATATAAAAAAGCGAACCAAAACAAAACTGAAACTGACTCAGACTTCAAAATGTAAACAAAACATCGTTTTAATAAAATTAAAAAAGAAACTAAAAAGGTGCGTCGTGCACAGTTATTATTTGTGGTTTTTTATCGATTAGGCAATTTGATATACAGGGCAGACATGTCTTGAATTAAAATATAGTATTGCAAAGTTATTGTATTTTATTGTAAAATAAAATAAAAAATGTAAAATATATATAATTTACATTGGGCACATAGAAAAGATTAAATAGACAATACCCGTCTTAAACCATAGAGGGATCTCTTACAGTAAACCTTTGAGAAGCTGAAAGAAAACTATAGATTATTCGATGGTCAAAATTGTTTAGTACAGTTATAGTTATTAACACGGCCAAAGTCTAGAGTAAATTAAAAATATAAAATGTTATGAATTATAAAAGTATCGTGCATTATTAATCTTATGGCGTAGGCCCTCTTAAGTTACATACTAAAATATTTATTGCAGTACACGTGTTTCATATTTAAGGGCACACACAGAGCACTATTTTGTTTGATCGTCCGTCAAAAGATGGCGCCAGTAAAACGGTGTCGTTATCTTTGTAAACGTATCCGTTTACCTATTCGTGTTTTTACTTAGAAAAATTAGTATCATTTATCAAATCTGTCAAATCTAAAAATGCCGCGTGGTCCTGGCATAGAATAGGCCCCCCCTTCTTTTCCCGTGAGTGTCGTAAGAGACAACTAAGGCAGGGCGAGGGATGGGCAGCAGTGTCCCTATTAAAATATCTCTAAAGCCTGACTGTGGTTGCCAATCCGACTGCCAAGCGTGGCAACTATTGGCAAAACTCCTAAGGGGGAGGCTTATATTCATCAGTGGACAGTCATAGGCTGATATGATGATGATGTGACATTAAAAATACTAAAAAAGTGGAGGCAATAGTCACAAAACGAAACTGTTGAATTTCTAAATTAAAACCACGCTTTTGAGAGTTTTTGGCATTGTGGCATTTTTAAAACTTCGCATACCAATACAATTTTATTCTAGATTATAAATTTAGATAGCACAGAACACTTTTCTGTGCTTTTCTTTTCTTTTCCATTATCTTCTTTGTCCCGAAAGGAATATGGCGACTCGACCATAGATAGTGCTTTTATCCCGTCATGATATATTGTACGGGAATGTATTCCCGTGGGGTGATTTATCGAAGTTTATCCAAACAGAATTGCAACTATAACGAGACTTAAATAATCGATAAGTTAATCTTTTAGTTATTTAACAAAATAAATAGACAGAGGTCGTTGACATTATCTTTATGTAGTGTGGGGTCAATGAACCATAATATTATGTTTCCTATTCAAATATTTAGTGCTATGCACTCGCTTCATTTTATGTGAATTGTAACACCAGAGGGAATAATTTGATGTACAGGATCAAAGGATACGGTAGGGATGAATGCACCATTTTGGAGCGCGAGGTTAAGTACAGAAAGACTACGATTATAAGTGCTTTTATCCCTTTCAGACACAAGATTTTTTTTTCTTTCATATTAAATATATTTTCGTGTTTTGGAGCCAAGCCATCTTGCCGGCACGCACGAGACTACTGCACCACCTAACCGCTAAAATGATTTCTTATTGGCTGGTTTAGAATCTCACTATCATGTTATTTCAGCTTCGTGCGTAAAAATGAATTGCGCGCGGTTTTAGAATTTTCTAAAGTTACAACTCACGCCCGTATCGTTCAGGTCTGAAATGGATATAAATATTATTTGGAGAAACTATCTTCTTGTTTAGTACATTTGATCTTATTTATTTTCTTCGACATTTACCATCAGGTGAAGTAAGTCCA